GTACCTCGTTAGTAGAGTGACAAGTCACTAAAAAATAATTGATTTAATTAATTGAGCCAAATTTTGGTGCTTGTGGGGGCACAATTGGTAACTCATGGTTTCTTTGTTACATTGTGGGCCTTTAATTAATTAATTGGGGGGTAATTGCAAATGCGAGTAGTGATTTTCATGGGTTGGTATCCCGTTCGTTGACATTTGAGACTAGTGGTGACAAGTTGTCAAATAATATTTTCTTAAATAATTATTATTTTCGCACATAATGGACAGTTACGAGAGTGTTATATTGGTGAAACCGGAAGTATTTGTGTTTAATATCCCCCCCCGAACGTCCAATCGGGGCTACAGGTAAAAACCGTCAGTGAAAAACCCCGGAAATACGCCCCCCAAAACTTGCAGAGCCGCTGATTGGAACCTCGCCGAGCCCACATGGACGGGTCGCATGCGTCTCATTTCCAAAGGCGAGGAATGCGCCCTCAAACTCGAAGACAAAAACAGTGGGGAACTTTTCGCCAAATGCCCCATTGAGACATATCCAGGCATAGCAATCGAACCCGTGACTGACTCCTCCCGGTATTTCGTGCTCCGCATCCAGGACGACAACGGTTCAAACCCCCTTGTGTCTTTTCTAACCTAAAAATGGGTTTTTAGGCCGGACCGCCTTCATAGGAATCGGCTTTGGGGACCGCTCGGACTCCTTTGACTTGAATGTGGCGCTCCAAGACCACTTCAAATGGCTCAAAAAGGAGAAACAGATCAGCGAGGAGCCCGACAAGCCGGCCCTGGACTTGGGCTTCAAGGAGGGCGAGACGATCAAAATCAACATGAAAATTACGGTAAAACCCCACAAAAATCGATTTTTTTTATTGAAGAATTCTTGTAGAAAAAAGATGGGGCGGAGGGGAGCGGACGCTCGAAGCTCAAATCGGGGGATGGGCCAGGATTGGGGCTCCTCCCGCCGCCCCCTAGCGGGAAACTGCCAGCGCCTCCAGGAAGCTCACCGGCGGGGTCCCCGGCACATGCACCCAAAGTCGACAACTCGGGGGGCGAGTCCTGGGGCGAATTCGCATCAGCGAGGTAAATTCGTTCACTTCTAAAACTGGTCACAACTAAATCACAACTAAATGATAAAGTAGGAATCTTCTTTTTAATTAATTAATTAATTTTATTTTAATTTAATTAATTTAATTTAAAAAAAATTCTTACCCTATTCGGGCTTTTGTTTGTTTAAAAACGCCAACATTTCTCGAAAACGAGAGAGAAAGGTAAAAAACTCAATTTACAGCCAAATTTTGTCTTTTTCGGTTTTTTTGAATTGTTAATCAATTTTTGACAAAATTTTTCGAAAAAAACTAGATATTTTTTCTTATTTATTTATTTTTATTTATATTTATTTGTTTATCTTTTTATTTATTCAAAAATTCAATTAAACATTCTAAAAATGCAAAAATGACATTATTTTTGATTTGGACCCAAAACGATTTTTTAATTTTGCGAAATATTTAGGTTTTGCAAATTTTGAAAAACATGACTTGAAAATGTTGTAAAAAAATTGATATTTTAGCTCAAAAACGTGAAAAACAGGTGGAGAAACTTAATTTTCGGCCAAATTTTGTATTTTTTTTTCTTATTTTTTGACAAAAATTCACTCAAAAACGAGCTAAATCGAATGAAATAACATCGATTTGGATTTATTTTTGTTATTTTTAAGCATCTTTTGGAAGGAATAAATGAGTCTGGTCTTAAAAACGAACTAAATTAAAATAAGATTAATCTCAATCTAATTTGGTAAATTTTAAGCCAATTTTTGGAGAAATTTTGTAATTATTTCAAAAACATATAACATTTTAAAAATGCAAAAATAACACAATTTTTGCCCCAATTTGGTAAATTTTCGGTTTGTTTTCAATGAAATTTCGCAAAATAGTTCTATTTCTCGCTGAAAAACGTACTAAAATACTTCGAAAAAGACAATTTTGGTCTAATATTGTAATTTTTTGATTTGTTTTTCGCTTGAAAAAATGTTTTTGGCTCAAAGTCGACAACTCGGGGGGCGAGTCCTGGGGCGAATTTGCATCAGCGAGGTAAATTCGTTCACTTCTAAAACTGGTCACAACTAAATAATAAAGTAGGAATCTTCTTTTTAATTAATTAATTAATTTTATTTTAATTTAATTAATTTAATTTAAAAAAAATTCTAACCCTATTCGGGCTTTTGTTTGTTTAAAAAACGAGAAAAAAAAAGTAAAAAAAACTCAATTTTCAGCCAAATTTTGTCATTTTCGATTTTTTTTTTAAATTTTTTTAATTTTTTCAGGGCCGCATCTCCAGTTCCTCCAACCACAAATAGTAATTGGGTACAATTTTAATTAGTGTTAGTTGTTGTACTTTAGAATATCTATTCTCAAGTAGTGAATCTAGTTTGTTTGGTAACATGTGTGATTCACTGCAATAATATCATGAAAAAATAAGGAAAAACATTATTTTTATTGCAGATTTATTGTACTATATTGTATATGACGTGAATCGAGATTTATTGTTCAGAATATAATATATTGTGCTTAAATATTATAGTATTTATAAAAGTTAGAAATTAGTTAATCGATGAGCATTTTTATTAACTGTTTCTTTTGTCTTAATTGTTAATTCTATTGCACATTCCATATATTTACTTTGTATTAATAAAAAAATATGACATATAACACTGGATCAGAGTTGGCTAAT